TATTATGTTTACTGGTTCTGCTAAATAGTCATTTTTCCTAGTTTAAAATATAATCCCAGAGTAAAAGCCCCTTTCACATGAAGTGTCATGGTATAATGCCCCAACAGAAAGACAAATTCCAGCCTACTGACAGGGCTTCCTTCTGTGACCCTGAACTCACCGTTTATTCTAGCAATATCAGTGAAGGTAATCAGATAACAAAAGTTATGGGCCCCCAGTGAAAACTCTTAGAAGATTCCCTTTTTACATTTTTTTTTTCACGGTACTGAGGATTGGACTCAGGACCTTGCACTTGTGAGGCAGGCGCGTTGCCATTGAGCTAAATCCCCAGGCCCTCTCTTTTTACATATTAATAACTAAGAAGGAAAATATTTTTGTTAATCTTTACAAGTGCATGGGTAATTTTTAGACTGAATTCAATCTGCCTTAGATTTTAATAAATTAGAGGATTTTGAATGTGAACCAAATACATGAGACAAGAAATCCAGATTCAGAAATGTTTCAGTTGTGCCAAAACATCAGGGCCAACATGACAGAAGGCCAGCTGACCAAGATAACACGTGCTCCTGCTCCCTGGCACAGGGCTGTCCCCAAGGAACACAGCAAAGGCTGCCTGGCTGGAATCTCTGCATCCCAGGCCCACCCCTGGGCACACTCTCAGGTCCAAAGCGCTAATTGGCATTTGTAGGTTTTTCTCACATTATTTCCCTCCCATGGGCTGCAAGCAAGAGACTGGGGGTCCTCAGGGAGGGCAGTGACACAAGGCAGAATAGAGTCTGGGGACAGACTGTCTGCAAGGTGGAAACACCAGGAACACCCATTGCTCTCTGGCACACGAGAAAGACAGCGGCCTGTGGTCTTCCAGGAGGCAGACTGGGATGGCTGTGTGCCCCCAGGAAAGCCCTGTGCTGCACTCAGGACAGCAGACATTTGAAACGCATCTGACTTTAAATGATGACCTTTTAAAATATGTTTTATTAATCTGTATCTCTTAAGTCAATAATTTTTAGTAATGGATTTTTACTTCAGGTAATGACAAAATGACTATGGATACAATTCTAAAGAGATTTTTATTTAAATTGTTTTATCTTTTATTGTCTCACAGAAATTCTTGGTCCTTCTGCACATTAGCTGTAAGAGCTCTTTGTGCAACATCAAAGTCATTAGGAAGCACCCAGCAGTACCTCTAAATTTAACAGACCAGTGTTGTGGGCAAAAACTGTTGCCCAGTTCCATGAAGCACTTCCTAATGCTGTTTGTGGCTGGGTTCTCTTCAGCAAAGACCATTTTACCCAGATTATACATTGTTCTGCCAGTAGATACTATGCTTACTAAAGGTTATCTCAACATACAATATTCATTTTCAAGGATAGGCATGCTGGATTTCCCACCAAGCAAAAGTATTTTTGGTTTTTGAGACAGAGTCTCACTATGTAAAGCTGGCCTGGAATTTGCCACATAGCCCAGACTGACCTTAAACTCATCCTCCTGCCTCAAGTCTCCAAAGTGCTAGGACTACAGGTGAGAAGTAAAGTTTCAAAAGAAATATAAACACTTTCTCCAAAGGAAGGAGAAAAATAGACTCTTCATAGTCTTCATCTGTAACCTGACGTTTGCTTTTTCTTTGTGCCTGTCATTAGTGAAAGAAAATATCATTGTTTTATTTTACATCTAGACTACTGTAGTACTAAGATTTAGACTATTCAGACATTGAGTAAAGATATTAAAATTCAGGTTTTATTATTTGTTCATTTATATAAAGCTAAGTGTTTCTTCTCAGAGCAAAGATAGAGTTCTATACCACTGTCCTGTACAAATTTGTCACCCATGATAGCCTGTGTCCATGTGTGGTGACCTGGTGGGAGAGGGCGGGTGGTGACAGATGTCCTCAAGGGCTCTGGCGAAATACTGGGTGCACCCCTCCTGAAGCCAGGCTGGACCTGCACCTCCCGGTCTCTAGGAAGCAGCTTTAAGGCCACCTTGCTTGGCCCACCCCCCACCCCCATTCCTATCCCCTTTCTCCCTGGCTGCTGCTACGCTGACTTCCTGGACGACCAACTCTGATTAGGCACCTTGTTTCTACACCAGCCTTAGATCATTATGACAAGAACATACTTGCTCCCCTCAGACCCATACCTGACAGGTAAAACCAGACAAAAACCACAGGGAGTCTTAGAGTTTTAGTTCATATCCTCACTAATCACATCTAGTGACCCAGTATTTTCTCATCCATATGATTTTATATGGGGTTCACATTTTTAAATGTAAAATATGCATGTAGGAAAAAGTACTTTTTCAGCTGTTTTTTCTTTTCTTTTTTTTTGGCAGGGGTAAGGGAGAGGTGTGTGTGGCAGTGGCGGTGCGGGGGGGGGGGGTCTGGTCTCACTGAACTGTCCAGGCTGCCGTGGATCAAGATCTTCCCATTGCAGCCTACAGAGTAGCTGGGATGACAGGTGTGCACCACCATGCCCAGCATTATTTCATCAGCTTCAAAACAGTCCTCAGCTGTTTTTAATGAGGCTTGCTCCACTCCATCAGAGTACGGAGCCCCTATAGGCTCCAGCTTGAACCTGTACAGCTAGTTAGTTTGTGTGCTCCTTGGCTGGAGTCCAGACCTGAAGCTCAGCCAGATCACTCCTCAATGGCCTAAACCCAAAAGTAATGATGCATGAGCACAAGTCAGTCAACCAGTGCCGCAAAGGAAGAAGTCCAAGCCCACTGGAAGCACTATCTGCATACACAGATATCTCTGCACATTACACAAAAGCCACTAGCAAATTTGCAGCAGCTCTGATGGCTAAATTCAGAGTCACAGTGCCTTTATTTTAAATTATTTAGTGTGCTCTACAGCCTTGGCCTCTTCCACCTTCTGCTGCAGCCTCTAGCACTCTGTAGACCATCAGTGAATCCCCCACCACCCGTGAACCACCTTATCCTCTCTCCCTGTTGCCAGGAGTCTATTGCTGCCTTCTTCCCAGCGTGCAACTCCCCCATTCTCCACCAGCACAAACTTCCACTCCATCACTGTATCTGCAGGCAGCAAGACAGAATGAGACCACACCCCGTCCTTGTGATGGTGGAGGGGAACATAAGTGTCCCACCTGCCTAGACTCTCGTGGTCTCCAGTTACCGCAATGAACTGGACATCTGTGTTTGTGAGGTAGTGCACCTGGAACCTGATGCTAACTTGCTCAGACTCTGAAAACACTGCGGCTGCACTTTTTCTTTTCCCATCCACTTCCCAGCCTCTTGCTTCCATAAGATTGCTCTTGTTGTCCATTTCCTGGCTTAGGCTTAATCCAGGAGCCTCAAGGTTGCCACCCAAGCCCACATCTCCCCAAGACAAGTGCCTAGACACCATTTCCCAGTCCTCATGGCCGGCTGGGGCCTGAGCATCCAGCTGTGCCTGGCTCCCTGTCTTAGTTCTGTTGGTGTGTGGGCTGCTGGATGGTAGCTTCTCTGCAAAACATGTGGCCGCTTTAGCAGGGGTCTCTTGTTTTCGGAATCTCCATTCTCCCACACAAGACTCAAGGCTTTCATTTCCTAAAGCTTCTCTTGCTTTGGTCTCAGAAATCAAATGTCCATTGCTTTCTTGAAGATGCTCTAAGAAATAAAAGGGAAATGTAATAGTGTTAGGCAATTCACAAAAGAAGGAAGTCTTGGGGATTTAGCTCACTGGTGCCACCTGCCTCGAAAGTGCAAGATCCTGAGTTTGATCCCCAGTACCAAAAAAAGAAGGAGGAGGAGGAGGAGGAGGAGGAGGAGAAGAAGAAGAAGAAAGAAGTCAGGCTAAGAGATTACCATTGAAGGCTTTCCTATGAATCTATCTGGAGTCCAAGACCCTCTCTATTGAAATAAGCACATATTTAAGTAGCTCATATATTCCCTGCACTGTGCTCTAAGAACACACATGTACTGTATACCCAGCAATAAAAGAGACATCCGGCAGCATCATGTGCCAGGGTAAACATGTAAGCACAGTGGCAAGTGTAAAGGCAGAAGTGTAAACCTGTCCTGGGTCTCGCACAGCCTGGGCAATGCTGGTGTGCAGTCAAGTCGAGGCCCTTGACTCCTCTTGCCCAAAACTGCTGTTCAGGACTGGGGCTGTAGCCCTGTGGTAGAGCACATACTCAGCATGAGGCCCTGGGCTCAATCATCGGCACAGAAACAAAACAAAAAAAGTCCAGCTGCGGGGCAGGGGGCTGTATGGCTCCCCACACATTGGAAGAGAGCCTTGTACATCACCCCCCAAATTCGTAGTGTTTGCTTGGTAATAGCAAGGGGAGGAAGTGAAGGCCAAGAGCTGGGGTGCATGGGGTGGGGGTGCCCATTGCTCCTTGCCAGTCCCACAAGCATCAGGGCCTCCTCCAAAAAAACCAAAAGGCATTCCCGTCCCTCCCAACCTACACACGTTTTTTAATGCTTTTCAAAATACAAAATACAAAATTCAAGTTCCCTAGAGATTTTGTTTCTTTCAGCTGACAGTTCCAGCAGCTCCCTGGAAGATGGAAATCTCCAAGACCAATCACTGAGGTGAGAGCTATGGGGAGAGGGCAAGTCTTGCTTCATTTGGCCTCTCTTTAATGGTAGGGTTGAAAGTGAGACATCAACAAATATTACTCTCAATTCCCAATTCTTGAACCTGAAACATGAGACTGCCTACAGAAGAGATCAATGAACTTTCTCATTCCACCCTAATCACAGGAAAGGCACAGGGTAGATTTTAACGTGGCTACAAATGATCACCTCTCCACTAAAAATAAAGTCTACAGATGTCATTGCCACCGTGAAGCCGCTGTCCAGGCACGGGAAGCTTGCCAGGGAGGGTGAGGGAGGGAGAGATTCGGCGACAGGGCGCTCTCTGCTCGGCCAACGGCCAGGAAATGTCCAGGCTGAAACCACATCAGCGCAGGGGCCCTTGTGAGTCTCTTTCTGGGGATGAGGCTGCCCAGCGCTGTTGCTGTAGGGGGCGCACAGCTCTGAACCCCAGACGAGCGCCCAGCCCCGGGCTGGAGTCCAAGCTGAGCTCTGCCTGCCTGATGGCCGCGTTCAGGGAGCAGGAGGCGCTCGCAGCTCCGCGTTCCGAAACCCACTCCAGCGCGGGGCGGGGGAGCGAGGGTGGGGACGTGGGTCGGAAGAGGGGTGTCGGGGTGGAGTGTAGCCTCAACACGGGCCCGGCGCTTCCGTGGCATGCGTGTGGTCTGAGTTCGAGCCCCAGCCCTGCAAAAAGTTTTATTAAAAAGTTTTGGGACGCCCATAAACCAAAGCCCTAGTTCCCGGAGGCCCGGGCGCACGGCTGCGCGGAGACGTTGGTCCAGGGGTGCATTCCGCGGGAGGACCTGGCCAAACAGCAGCCGTGACGGCACCCGACACCGCCAGCGGGCCCTCTTCCGCCTCCTGCGCCAATGCCGGGGCTCCCGGGAGGTGGGGACGTAACCGGGCCGGGGACGTACCTGGGGCGCCTCTCGCGTCCGCGGCCTCCCCGGGAGGGGCGTCCTTGCCTGCGTCGCCCGGGCCGCCCCGCAGCAGCCACACCAGCAGTGCCCCCGCCAGCCCCCCGCCGACCAGTAGGGCGGACCAGACGGCTCCCATGGCGCGGACACACCCACCCGCCCCGGGTCGGGCCGAGTCCGGATTGGGGATCGCCGGGCGAAGACCCTGCTCCTCTTCCGCGCCCTCGCTCCCGGCTCTCCCGCAGCCGCAGCCCGGGTGCGGGACCAGGCGTCCTCCTGGGGTCCCGCCCCGGGGCCGCCCCTCGCGCCGCCTCTGGGGCGCGGCCGCCGCCCGGGCTCCAGTGGCCGTAGGGGGAGGGACACGGAGGAGAGCTGCGCCCAGCTGCCTGCGTCTCTACGCTTCGTCTGTGCAATAAAAGGGGTGGACTGGGACCCGTGCTCTTCACTCACATCCTGTCCCGCCGCCTCCCCTACCTTTCTGGGGGTGCGTGGCTGCCGCGAATTGAGCGTCCATCTAGGGAACCAGATGCTGTCCAGGGACAGGGTTCCTGCAGAGACGCATATTTGTAAACACAGCAACCCTTTATTAAGCGCTCAGTATTCAAATGTTTTATATACGTATTTAATTGAATCCTCACCAAACAACAGCAACCCAGTAAACTATGATACACGTTTCTCCCTCAGTTCACTGCTGCGCTGAGGCGATGGCTTTGCACACCCACCTTGAGGGATCCGCCTTCTCGTCCGCGCCTGAACTTCCTTCCCCCTGGCCCGCACATTCCACATCCAGCTGCTGAAGGCCACAGCTGGCGAGTATCGGCCTCCGAGTAATGGCTGGCAAGGCTCCCACTGGCGGGACAAATTCCTGAGTGTCCCTCTCTGGAAACAGCCACCGCTTCTGGGGAGTCACAGGCGGGCTGTGTGTGTACACACGTGGGTGCACAATGACAAAGGGGAGGATGGGGAGGCTCCTTCGGGCAGCTCCTCCTGGGCCCTTGACGCACATCTCACATCCAGCTGGCCCCATCACACTTCCTCCCCAAGCCCGCAACTCTCAGTTTCTCCCTTTCAACCAGAAGTCTGTGTGATCCCTTTGAAACCCTGCCACCACATCAGCTTTATCTCAAGACCCTCCGCGGCCCAGATCTCGAGATCTCGGAGCCAAAACCCTTGCAGCACCACACCACCTGGGCTTGTCTCTGTCCTGCCCTCTCCAGCCTTGCTGGCTTTCTTGCCTGGCATAGGTTTTATGTGCATCTTTTAGCACAACATAGAGATTCGCTTTTTGTCAAATACATTTGCTCTTCAACTAATTAAGGATTCAATTGTGGGCTTGGGGCAAACTGAAGCATGTATCCTTTATGATAGACCAGGAGACATAAGTGTTCCGCCGAGTTCTGTGAGCCATTCTAGCAAGTCATCGGATCCGAGGAAAAGACGGTGGGATTTCCTGATTTACAGGCAGTGGTCAGAAGCAGGGGAGGCCTGGAGCTGCTACTGGCCTTTGGAGGGAGTCTGTCTCGAGGAACTGAGCCCTTTCAGCCGTAGGATCTGACACTAACTTAGGTGGGTAGGGTCAGAATTGGGTTCAGTTGTAGGACACCAACCTAGTGACTGTGGAGAGTTGGGGGATTGCTTGGTGTGCCCCCATATTGGTGACCAGAGGTAACGTTTTGAGAGTAGCAGAGTAAGCAGTATTTTCCTTGCCCCTCTCCTTGTAATTCCAGTACCCTGGTGCCATTCAGACCTCCCCTATGTCTGCCTGCATGACTACAATCACCTGCTGCAGTCATTGGCACCTCCCTCTGCTCTGACTCCTGTCCCCTCTCCTCTCCTCCCCTCTACCACACTCCTGATTTGATCCCCCTAAAGTACAGCCTGAGCAAGGCACCCTGTCTGTCAGGTTAAATTCAACCCCATCCCAGCCTTCATAATCTTCTCTGACTCAGCCCTATGCAGCAACTCCTCCAGGGCTCTCTCTCCCATTTATCTGCCCTCTGGCCACAGTGGAATTCTGCCAAGACCTTCATCGTTGCTCAACCCATTTCCTAACACGACTTCGTTCTGTGAAACATTTTCTGAGCACATGAACCCACACCGCACCCCCATTCCTCAAATAGATGTCACTCTGAACTCTGAACACACACTGTGACTTTCTTGGAGAAAGAGATGAGGTTTCCCCTTATGGGTGAAATGTTTGGTAGCTTGTCTTATCCCACTTTAGACCACAAACTCTTCGAGGGCCAAGGCTTGTTCATTATTCATATTCCCTGGAATGCCAATTCTATCATCAAATAGCCCTGTTCTTACTGTTTCTATTTAGCTAATGCTGTCAGCATAGTATCTGTCAATAGGGATTATTTCATCAACACCCCCCAGGCAGTAATCTCCCCAAGGTCACTCAGTTGATGAGTGACCAAACTGGGATTTGAACCCAGAATGCTGACCCCAGGAGCCACGCTCTGAAACTCTAGTTATATTCAATCCAGTCCCACTGCCTCCCCACCTCCCCTCCCTCTCTGGGGGTGCATGGCTGCCAAGAAATGAGTGCCCATCTGGGGAACCAGGTGCTGTCCAGGGATGGGGAGTTAAACTATGTCCAAATATTATGACATACATTTTCAAAGTGAGTATTCGAACTGTGTGTGATACCATGTAACCCCTTTGGAAATATCCCAACATTTATGGTGAAATTTAGACATGCTCTTGGTTTGTGAGTCCTCTCTCTGCAAGCCCTGGCTCCTTAGGGAAATGTGCGGGTCACCCAGCACCTGTCTGCCGCCGTCAATTACTTGCTCCTGGGCCTCCACAAAACATGAGCCACAAGCAAAACCTCTCTGCAAAGCAGTCACGTTGAAGCCACCCAGCTTCAGGTTTCATAGAGATATTTTCTGACCGCAACTGTTTGCAAAGCTCTGACTCATCTTAGTTCTAGAATAGATGCCAAGCAGAGCTGCTGTGCTAAATGATGAAACCTTTAGTAAAAGCGAATCTGTTGGAAAAACTAGCTCATTGTGTGGAGGCAAAAGTAAATCTGGACAAGTACTTTGTACCACATAAAACGCTGGAGTCCTGGTTCAATGAAGTCTTGAATGTAAATGTTAAAACTGCAAAACTGGTAGAGCAAAATCAAAGAACTATCATTGTGACATTGCCTAACATAGAAGGCAAAAAAAATTTTCTAACATCATCAAAATAAGGCTATTTTGATATTATGTATGCCATAAACAGTTACCAGATAAATCCAGACTACAGGGAGATGTTTGTTTTGTCTAAAACCGACAAAAGATTAACCTCCAGATATACAAAGAAAGCAATATGAGGGCGGGGGATTTAGCTCAGTGGTGCCACCATATGCCTTGCAAGCACAAGGTCCTGAGTTCGATCCCCAGTACAGAAAGAAAGAAAGAAAGAAGAAATCCAAATAAAAATGGACAAGGTGTTCTTTCCCTGGTGCCCGGACATAGGTACTCATGGGACTGCTCAGCTGAAGGAAACTAACAGATACAGAATGGTCCAAATCCCTGGAGGCAGATAAATGCAGATCAAAGCAGTGATGCTGTACCATTTTGCATCCATCAGAGATGTAAATATTAGAAAGAAGGTGTAGCACTCCTTTTGGGAAAGCAAACAGGTACAACTTGGAAGAATTTTACAAAATTGAATATGCATCTATCTCATGACCCAGCAATACCATTCTTCAACATGTACAGCCTGGAGGCGACCCAGCCACACATGGAGGGGAAACCACTAAGAAAATGTGGTGGTGCCATGAAACATTGAGAGTGTCCTGTAGAGTGCCTGGGCCCCCACATAGGAGGGGCTCAAAATGTGTATTGATTAAATAAATGAACATCAGGAATGGTAAAGCACTAAGAGTGTATTACCAAAAATATAGCAAATAAGTGTCAAGGTATCCTCCCTCCCTCTCTCTTCCTCTCACTCCCTTCTTCCTCTCTCCCTTCCTTTTTCTCTCCCTTCCTTCTTTCCTTCTTCTCTTCCTATGGTTTAGATCTAAAATGTCCCCCCAAATTCTCATGTTTAGAGGGTGACTGGATTATGGGGGTGCTGTACTCATCAGTGGATCAGTCCATGGATGACTTCATGATGACTCGCTGTTAGGAGGTGGGCTGGGGTGGAGGTGGGTCAGTGGCACGTGAACTGGAAGAACATAATCTTGTCCCAGCTCCTTCTCTCTCTGTTTCCTGATTGCCATGGGGTGAGCACCTTTTCCTCTGCCAGACACCCTCTTCCATGCTGTTTCTGTCTTGGAGCCAGCTGACTGTGGACTGAAACCATGAGCCAGAGTAACCCTCTTCTCCTTTAAGTTGTGGGTGTCAGGTATTGTGTCACAGTGACAGGAAAGTGACGAAGACACCATCCTTCTTTCCTTCTCTTCTCCCCCCTCCCTCACTCCCTCCCTTCTTTTGAGTTGAGTGCTATCTTCGTGGGAGAAAATGAGGTAAATTGTATAAGGACAGACCTAAGCAAAACTCCAGTGAGGACAGTTTGGGGTGTCATTTACCTCCTGTTTCTTGTCTTCTTCCTCTTCAACATTCTTTAACTGACCTACCCACCCAACCATTGCACTGTTAATATTCTTTGTTAGCTGCTAAACTTTGTCAAAAAGAAAGCAGAGGGCCAGGGATTTAGCTCAGTGGTACCACTGCCTGCCTCAAAAGCACAAGGTCCCGAGTTCAATCCCCGGTACCAAAAAACAAACAAAAAAAGAAGAAAGCAGAATTTTGTCAGTACTTCAGGGTGAGTTTGTCTGATATTCAGAAGCAGACCTAGAGGGAGGACAAACCAAAAGAATGAATTTCTAATGGAAAAATTTCACAGCCTGGGTACCTGCCAGGGAGGGTTTTTGCCCCAGCCTCCACTCACATGTGCAGTCCTGCCAGCTCCCCTCACACAGAAGGCAGACCTTGGGGTACCAGACAAATTGGGCCAAGTCTCAAGAAATAGAACAGACAAAATTCATTTTTTAAATGTTCAGGCTCACCAGTTATTTAAAAAACATAAATGAAGACAAGATACTGATTTTCATCTATCAAACAGGCACCCTTATTATTTTTTGAAAGATGACACTTAATGTTGGCAAAGATGCTAAGAAAAAGGAACTCTTGTATTTAAGAGTATTTTTCCCTGTTGTGAAAGAAGGAAACATACAAAATTAGGGCAATTTAACTTTATATATTCAAAGTTTTAAGAAAACCAAAACAGGCCGGGCATGGTGGTGCATGCCCATAATCCCTGCATGCAG